TGGCTTGGCCTCCTGCACAGCCTTGTCCACATCCGCCTGAGGAGGAAGGCAGACATAGAGGCTGAATGGATGGTGCTCCCCTCCGCCACCAGCTATCTGAGGCTGGACGGAGGAGACTGTGCTCAGAGGGAACCAGCTTTCCAGACCAGAGGCTACAAGAAATCAGAGAGGTGACTGGGTACTGATCCAGGGGAAAGAAAGAGGAAGCTGAAAAACAGCCTGCATTTGGAGTCAGGGCTTTCTGGGTCCCTGGTGCATGGTATAAGCTGTACACTTGGTTTCTGCATTAGGTTCCTCGGCCTGATGTTCATCTTGGGGTTCAAACAGACCCATCTCCCAGGGCAATGGGAGGCTGAATTCTGTATGTAGCACAGCCCTGGTCAGATTATCCTTCTTTTGGCTCATCTGAAGGGAGCTGTAGAAGGGGGAGGGGGAAGCTGCAAAAGTCCCATACCAGGAATTGGATAATCCCTCATCAGCACTGCCAAACACTGGCATTACAGTAGAGAATTCACAACCAGACACATATTCATGAACTTAATGCAATTAAAAAAAAACTCCCCTGTCAACATACAGCTGCCAGGCACTGGCTGAGAAGGTCCCTAGATTGGGAGGGAACAGAACATCCATCCAAGGGACACCAGAGAGCTCCCATTATCTCCTTCATAAGCACAGGAGGCGTCATTCATACATGAAAACCCAGCCCTGATGTCAGTTGACCTTTGGCCGACTGCAGATGGATTCCAGCCTGCGGAGGTTTTGCAGACTCATTATTTACCCACCCAGCTCTAGCCTTCCCTGGGCTGCATGCTATTCAGAGATAACATTATGAAATTATGTTTGAGAAGAATGGCTGTAGCAGGCGAGCGACCATTACTACATAAAGGCTGCTGTCCTGGGAAACATCAAGTATGTTTACATGAGCCATATTTCAGTGACAGTCTCTGCTATGTTCATATTTACTTTAGATCCTCTGGAGAGAACAAGGGGGCTGACTTCTGACACCTTAGTGGAGTTTGTTTAGGGTTAACATAGCTGATTCAATTTAAAATCCAGGATCTCTCTGTTTTTTCATGCTATTTATTGTTTCGAGTCAGCTCTCATTTTTGGCACACGCGCTGACCTAACAAAGCAACCAACTTGCAGGCCATGCAGAAATCCAAGTGATTTCTTCTCCTTCCTCCAACAGGACCAGCTTAGACAGGAAGGCTGGGCCTGTGTTTAAGGCACTGAATAGGAAGTCAGGAGATCTGAGTTCAGTCCTCGGCCCTGCCTAAACTCCAAGTGATCTTGGGTGAGTCACTTTGTCTTGCCCACTTGTAAAAGTGAAGAGAAATCTTCTCCCATCTTTCTGGGCTAGCAGCTCTTTGGAAGAGTCTCTGGTTTAGTCTGTGTCTCTACAGCACGTACTGCATCAGGCTCCTTACTAGGGATGTTAAATTTAGAGTAATTAACTAATTGAATAGTCTATGGGATTTCCATCGACTATTCGATTAGTCCACTGGTTCTCAAGCTTTTTGGGCTCCGGAGCCCTTTACATGCATAAAAATTTATGCGGAGCCCCAGCAGTTGACTGATTGTATGTGTTGTACCTATCGATGTTTCCAGTTTGTCAACCTCACGGAGCCCCTGGAGATGTCTCGCGTAGCCCTGGGACTCTGAGGAGCACAGTTTGAGAAACACTGCATTAGTCTATAAGGGTGCCTCCGCCTGCTGGGCTCTTGCTACAGTTCAAAAGCCGAAGCCCCACAGAGAGCGCCTGGCTTCCTTTTGAAACGTACTGTACATTTCAAAGGCTGAGGTGCTGCAAGGACCGCGGGGCCAGCAGGGGATCAAAAGCAGAATCACAGCAGACGCTGCCCAAGCGGAGACTACTTCAGTCCCCACTCACGCCATTTCCCGCTGTGCCTCTTCCTCCCCTGCCCCTGCGGAGACATTGCGTGGAGAGAGGGGGGAGAGGGAACCGGCTTTTAAGCTGGCTCCCTCCAGCACCAGCTCCTGCTCTCCTCCCACTTGTTGCCTCTCTCAGATAGAAGCGGCAAGGGGGAGGGAAGCGACTAGTCGCATCAATAGTCGACTGTCCGGTAAGCTTATGCTTATCGGATGGTCAACTAGTCGACTAGCCTCTTACATCCCTACTCCTTAGGCACCACTGAAATACGAAAGCTGGAAGTGATCAGGTCCCTTTTGTTCTGCTGAGAAAATGTCCAGCCCTTCCAGTTCGTTGGAACTACTCCAAACCTCCAGGCCTGCTTTACAGCACCTACGTCAGACAGACAATCCCCTAGCATAAGGCAGTGCTGGCTTCTGTCCTTTCCTAGCCTAAGAACTTTCTGTAAAGCCTGACTGCAACATTGGGAGCAGAGCTCGTTTTTCCCTACCTCTCCGCAGTTCCAACCCAGGCTCCGATGCTTACTCATTGGTGGCCTCACATTACTTCACCTTTCTGCTTCAGTCTTCTAAGGTTTAAAACAACCCCCTTTCGGGAGTGGGGCAGAGAACAGTAAAGCATCATATGACAGACGACTACACTCCCCATTTGTTTGGCTTCCTACCTTTGATTAAGAGCAAGACTAGAGAGTTTCATTGAGGTTTGGGGTGGGTAGAAACCAAATTAACAGGAAAACAATGCTGACCCTGCTTTATATACAATACAGGGATGTTAAAAAGTATTCATTCAAGTAAATGTGTAATTGCTGAAAAAATTCAGCAGTTGCAAGTTTACATGTGGAGGGGAGGCAGAAACGTACTGGGGGGACAGACTGGAGCTGGTGGTCGTAGGGAGCTGAGTTTTCAATTGGCTCTCCGCGGACCACTGGCTCCCATGGAGAGGCGGGCTGGGGGTAACCATGAAGATTAAATAATGAGCACCAGCATCCCGTGTACACTAGTGCATCCCTAATACAGTAAATGTAGTAGTTTTCCATATAACAGAGTTCAGGCACTTGCAGGATACAGGGTGGAAAGCAAACATGTTTCTGGAGTGGGTTATAAAGAGACAGGTACTTATCAATACCTATCAATACCTGTTCTTATAAACAATCTTATAAGGACAGTGTTTACCTTGTCTCCTTCAGCAACCTGGCAGATAACTTCCCCTGTTGCTGGGTTGACAGAAGGGAAGGTTTTCTTGCTGACTGCATCATGCCATTCATTGTTTATGAAAATCTGTGATGAAAAAAAAAGACAGAGAGAGAGAGAGAGAGAGAGATATTCAGGCCCCAGAGCCATATAATCTGGACGTTCTATTGTTTGGTGCCAGACTTAGCAGGAAGTTGGAAGCACAGCTCCATGCATTAAGCAGTTCAGATTAAAGTTTTGTGGCTCAGCACACACTTTTTAACATGCAAAAAACTAGACAGTCATAGAAGAGCTACTGTTAAAAAGAAAAGCCCGCAAAGATGTGCCATGTGCAAAGGGTTTCTGAGAAGCAGTCATTCAGCCTTATAATCTCACGGCATTTTGGATCAAGCAATACGGGGCGAGAGAGGTGTTCTTTGCCAATCCTTGAGTGAGGACAGCATCAAATCCCTCATTCTAGGGAAAG